CAGTAATGTAGGTATAGAGATGTAACGTACCCATCAGTAGACAGTAATGTAGGTATAGAGATGTAACGTACCCATCAGTAGACAGTAATGTAGGTATAGAGATGTAACATACCCATCAGTAGACAGTAATGTAGGTATAGAGATGTAGCCTACATATCAGTAGACAGTAATGTAGGTATAGAGATGTAATATACCCATCAGTAGTCAATAATGTAGGTATAGAGATGTAACATACACATCAGTAGTCAGTAATGTAGGTATAGAGATGTAACGTACCCATCAGTAGTCAATAATGTAGGTATAGTGATGTAACACTTAGTCAAACAGACCATTGGACTTATAGTAGGATGTTGAAGTAGTAACTGTCAGTAGAGCGTTGTCAAATTAACAGGTTACTTGTGTCTAGCTTTGTACTTTCCATGGTAAGAAAAAGATTCATAGGAAGCTATGTACCCAGGACAAACCACAACTTGAATTTGATGTAAAAGAAGCCGAAGGTGGCACATTTATGAGGTTATATCAATATACTCCCAAGGAGAAGCAAGATACAGCTGTTTGACTGTTGACCTTGACCTATAATTGTTTACATATTTAAAGGTAACCCAAGGGAGACCAATGTGAGAAGTTGAAACCTGTAGCCTCAAGAAGTACCAAGATAGAAACCGTTTGACTGTTGACCTTGACCTGTAATTGTTTACATATTTAAAGGTAACCCAAGGGAAACCAATGTGAGAAGTTGAAACCTGTAGCCTCAAGAAGTACCAAGATAGAAACCGTTTGACCTTGACCTATATGACAGTTTTTATTTAAAGGCAACACAAGGGAGACCAATATAAGTAGTTAAAACCGGTAGCCAGAAAGAGTACTGAGATAGGAGCTGTTTTACTTTTGACCTTCACCTATATATAATTATATTGGTTTATATTTAAGGCAACCCAAAGGACCAGTGTGAGCAGTTAAAACTAGTTATCCCCACGGATTACAGCAGTCAGGGAAGTTATAGTGGGGACATCAATCCACTAGTCTGAAGGATAGTATGCTAAATATGCATAGTTTGAAAGCCTTACTTTGAATTACAGTAATAATTTAATATTCAATTACAGCCTTTGGCTGAGGTAGATACCTGGATTTATCGACCCAAGAAAAGATATATTGACTGAGGTCAATGTATCTTTTCTTGGGTCGATAAATCCAGGTATGGACGGAAGTTAAAGGCTACAATTGTTTTATTATTTTACAAAACAGTAGTGTAAGCAATCTGCAAAAAAAAACAAAAAAACTTCGGAAGTGGGATGGTGCATTGTTTGGAGACACGTCATAATTCTATTTTTAGAAACACCCAGTTCTTAAACAAAAATCATGTGCTCCAAGTCAATATCGGTTTTTATCATTGGACACGATGTTTAGGAAAGTTATTTTGCAGTAAGACAGAGTGAAACCTATACTATAATAAGACCTGTTGATGTCAGGTGTTACACAAAAGGCACATATGGCCTGTACTACTCATCACTCCATTTGGATTTTCCATTAGTCCATGCAATGACAGGGACACTTGTATAACAGATCAGCAGTGAAACTGATCAGAATTATGTCAAAAAGACCTCAACTCATCAAACTACAACTGGGTTGCTATTTTAGATTCTTTCATCAACTAAGGACCATGACAGCATTATTCAGGTGAAGTTCGGTTTTCGATGTCTGCCAAGTCAGGCCTCAAATCCCTTAATCGTTACAGTAGAAGCCTTTTGAAGATTTTTCTTTATTTCATCTATAGAGTCCTATTCCTCTACCCCAGCATTTTAATGGGGTTGATCATGTATCCAGATACAAATTTAGCTTTTACAAGAACTTTTTTAACACATTTATATTACATATGACATCATCAAGGACATACATGACTGAAAGATCCATATATATCCTATCCTCGATATCCAGGGGTTACGTTCACTTTCGCTCTCTGTACCCCTGGAATATGTCATAGCAAAATTGAAGGCTCAGTGTGCACCGCCTTGTGGGCAGGTCGAGGAGACTAGTTTGCTCCTTTGATGAATCTCACGGTTGCGTAACGGTAAAGCTTATTGGCTTTAAAGTCGGGCGTCGCTCCTCTGTAATCTTCAAAGGATAAGTATCAGCCTTATGATTGGTCAAGTTCTTTTACCCGACAACAATAAAAAAAAACCAGCCGTGTGTCTTCAATTTTGCTATGACATATTCCAGGTGTGCAGAAAGCAAAAGTGAGCGTAATCCCTGGAATATTGAGGATGTACGTATCCGAAACAACTATTTATGAGGGTATAATAACACTGTCATCAATACAAATTATATAGTTTGGAATGTAATTATTCAATATAGAAAATGCAATGCTTGTCAGGTTTGGTTTGGTTTCATTTTGTTTAACGTCCTATTAACAGTAAAGTTCATTGAAGGATGTGCCTCCATGTGTGAAGTGTATGCATGCTTGCGTGTGTGTATTCAGGAGACAGGGTATGTTGGTGTTCTTGCCTCCTTGTGATAGTGCGGATCTGATGGCAACTTTATAGTGCTATCTCACTGAAATGCCATGCGGAAGGCACACAGCACAGCATTTCACCCGGTCACATTATACTGACAACGGGTGAACCAGTTGTTGCCATTCCCTTAAATGCTGAACGTTAAGAAGGGAATAACTACCATTTTTAAAGACTTCTGTATGTTCGGGCTTTGGGACAGAACTTGTTGCCTTCCTCGAATGCTCAATATTAAGACCAAAAGTGAGGTGTTGCCAAGCAAGGCGCTGGGGAATAAAAGGTAGTTAAAAGCAGAAAGAAAGATAAAGACAATAGTTATCATTTATTAAGACTTCCACAAAACACTGCACTTCAACCCTTCAAACGAAAACCTTTTATAAATATAATAGTAATAATTCAGCAGAAAGTTTACTGATTCATAGTCCACTCAGTCTTGTCAAGTTTATCAATGAATGTCCCTGGTAACTTGAGATATTTATGATTTTATCATAAAATGCAGATCTAAGAACAGAAAGACATTTTCTTAGATGGGAAAAGTCAAAACATGATTGCAGAAGCTTAATATATTACTGTTTCCCTAAATATTTCCAACATCAAACTGATTGTTATACACTTACAAAATGAGATCACTATACAACAGACACACAGAATGGTTTTCTGAAGAACTAGTACTGTACAGATGTCAGGTGTTCGTGTGAGTGTCTGCTTTACGGCCTGTCTTTAGGCTAAAGTCACTCTCTTCCCCGGGTTGGTAAATGTCAGTCGTTCATGTGAATGTCTGCTTTACAGGCATCTTTTTACAGCCTGTCTTTATCTTAAGACACTCTCCTCCCTGGGTTGATAGATGTCAGTCGTCCATGTGTAGGTCCACTTTGGAGGACACCCTTTTACAGCCTGTTGTAGAGTAAAGTTCACTTTCCTCTCTGGGTTGGTTAAATGGGAGCTCACCTAAAATCTTCTGTATTGTTTCCTTGTTAGGAACCATCTTCTTCAGGTATAAGTCACGGATGATGCAGCTTTTTACATGTGCCTGAGTGAGGGGCAGAAATGGCACTGTGTGTGTGATAAGTCCCTCCTCAAGGAAAGGCATGTACCAACTCCCCTCTCCATTATTAATGAGGGTGGGCATGAACTCCTCTTGTGTCAAACTTTCTCGTTCACGACCTTTTTGTAGCTGTGAGAATAAATAGTTGTTGATGTCTGTTCCTCTACTATTGCTGAGTAGAATAAACATGGTCCACACTCTGGTAGTTACATTGGAATTCTTTATTTGTGTTAAAGCAGTGCGAAGTCCTTCGATCACACCATCAGATGCCTTGTCCATCTCGTCGAAGATAAACACACCCATGCTACACGACGAAATGTTACCCTTTATCCACTGTGGGATCATTGTCTGGTATTGGTGGTCCTGAGATCTATGGGGGAAATGTAACGGTACAAGGAATGTATTAACTTTGGCTGGTTTAAATGTTTGCTTGAGTATATTAGCTAGGTGGTTTTTACCTATACCTGACCAGCCATGGAAAGAAACAACCGTCTGAGAGTTCTTCAGTGATTTACGGAAATGTAGGGATAGGTTTTTTGCTAATGACATTACTAAACCTGCGGCTATGTGCTGACCAAACATATTTTTCTTTAGCTGATCCTTCAGTTTTGCAATATCAACAGTCATTTTACACTGCGGCGGTTTGGCTCTATACACAATATTTATAATGATAAACAGCAGCAATAGAAATACCAAAAATGAAAGCTTCTGTTTGATGCTTATATATGGTTCAGATTTGTTCCTTTCAAAGGGTTTACGTTGGTCTTTACGACTGGTGCTTGGATCATCCTCCTCTCCATTTGTTGGATGGTGATTGTAACGTCGACGTCTAGTTTTTGATTGTCCTTCAAACCGATCACTCAGACTTCGGATCGGTGTTGAATTGGTCCGGATTTGCTCACTGAGTGGAGATGGCAGTTCAGTGGAACTCGGTAGTAAGTGTTGAGGTGTACTGGAGGAATATCCTCTGGAGTAATTTGACTGTAGGGCAGACATGGACATACGTTTAGGAGTCCTGTTTGTCGATAAGTGACGGTCCACTGACCTTGACTGCTGTTTCAGGGGAAAGGATTGTCGACGGGGAACAATCCTACTTGCAGAATGCCTATGTAACCTTGTTGGACTTCCCAAAGAGAAGGACTCTCCAGAAATATCCATGGGTTCCTCTTCATCCATACCTTTATACTCTGCAATTAAGAAAACGAATTATTTAAAATTATCCACAGAAAAAAGGCTTGATAGTCTAACTTATCTCGTCCCCCAGAATAGTGGCCAGATTGTTAGATATGTGAGACAGCTGAATGACAGAAAACTTTTGCACAGAACAAGAGGCTCTTGGAGGTTAACACTCGACTGAGGTGAGATGCAATTGATGTTTGTTATGTGATACAGCTAATTGATACATAAAGAGCAAATTTGCAACCAGAATGATGGATGTGACCAACATAAACCTTACATATCGCTAGTAGCTATCAGAATACAGAGACAATGCCTCTAATTGTTTACTGTTGGAAATCAGTTTAAATTTTATGACCAATAAATAAATTCCATTCAAATTTGAAAATTGAAAAATGTATAAAAAAAAAAAAAAGGAATCCTAAGGTGTTTTCTTCCTTTATAAACAGAGGGAAATGGATGACCTGGTTATAACGAAATTCAAAATTCTGATCTATAAAACATCCTAGGACCGTTAACGTTACATCCATGATATATGTCCGTGTGTGTGTGTGTGTNAATAATTATTTGATGTAGTATATACCCATCATATTACATATGTGGGTGCTTTAGTACAATCAGCATAACCGGCAGTCCCGAGTTTCCTCTGGTCCTGACACTGGCACTAACACAGTTACAACTTTGTAAAAAAAGTCGATTATATCTAATCATGAATGGTGCAGTTGAAAACTGTAAACACTTGCTTAAATGAAGTATGATCAACCAAGTAATTTTATGTTAACATGACACGTATAAATATATATAGACTCTACTCACATGTGTCCCGCTTCTACTTTCAATTTCATTAAACGCAGAGTATGGACCTACATTTTACTTGGCACGCGCGCGTTAATTTGCAAAAAAAACGTCAGGTGAACCGATGCATTCATCAGCGGGAAACCGGGGGCCTGTTCGTTTATATGTGATATTTTATCGCACCTCACTAGATATCGCACCCCTTATACTAATAAATCATATGATTTATTGGTATAAGGGGATGCGATATCAACGGGTGCGATAATATATCACATATATTCCAGAACCCGAGCACCTGTGCGTTAACATTTTCGGGTATAAATCCTGGCGGACCTGTTCAAGTTTATGCAGTCCTTGCAAGACCTTGTCAAGGCTCGACTGAAAGCACCATCAGATTACTAAAACGAACATCCCTGGTCCAACCGGTTCAATCGTTGGATCGCGATAAACGAAAGCGACCCAGGGGCCTGATTGTTTAAATGTGAAACAACCGATACGTCCGTTTTTAAATGTAATATTTTCGAGTATAAATCCTGGCGGACCTGCTAAAGTTTATGCAGTCCTTGCAAGGCTTTGTCAAGGTTCCCCTGAAAGCAGCACCTGATCACAGCTAACAGGTTAGAAACCTGAACATTTGTTACAGCTTTATAGTTGGACCTAAACTGATATACGTCAATCAGGGGTCCTACCGATTGGCATCAGTGATCACTTCCCTGTGTTCTAGACTCGCAAAAGACCTCGTAGTGTATGAATTCAACATACATACTAAGGCCTGGAAATTGTTCAGAGACTTTTTACCGATGCTTTAGACCATGTGGCTCCCATAAAAGAAATTCGCCTAAAACAACGCACTGAACCCTGGATGACCTCTGAAATACTTGACCTCATATCTGAAAGGGATAATAAACTTAACATTTTCAAGAGGAGTCACAATCCTGATATATATAAAGAATTTTGCCAGCTCATAAATAAACTTCAAAAACTTGTTAAAAAAGCTAAAAGCAATTATTTTGAAAATAAAATTGAATAAAATAAAGGCAATTCTAAAAACCCGTGGAAACAATTTAAGGGCCTGGGATATGAAAGGAATAAGAAATCAAACCCCAAAACAGTTCTCAATATTAATGGTGTAAACTGTCATGATGACATTACAGTAGCCAACCATTTTAACAAATATTTTACTACTGTTGCTTCTAAATTGATTGAAAAACTTCCATTGTGTAAAGGCTTGTACCATTATACATCAAAGTTGTTTAGGGATTTTTGTACTAAAAGAAACCCGAAAGGGATTACATTTCATCATCGTCATGTCTCGGAGGGGTTTGTGTACAGGTAGTTATGCAATTTGAATATATATAAAAGTACAGGTTTAGATCAAATTCTTGCCAGATTATTGCAGGATGCGGCACCAATAATCAAAATTCCTATCACCTTTCTTATAAATGTATCCATATCTGAGGGTAAAGTATACCTAACGATCTTAAAACTACAAAAGTTATCCATTTATTCAAAAAGAAGGATAGACTTCAAGCAGAAAACTATAGACCTCAATATTGTATCAATTTAAAAAAAAAAGCAGTCTACAACCAATTAGAACATTTTCTCGTTAAAAATAACCTATTGGAATTTCAATCCGGCTTCAGGAAATCATACTCTACTGACTCCTGTTTGATCTATCTCATGGACTATGTAAAATCTCAAACGTCGAAAGGTTTATTCACTGGTATGGTCTTGTTAGACCTACATAGGTGGTAACAACTCAGCATATAACGGTCACTTATACAGAATTAGGTCATCTCGTGGAGAAAGGTAAATGATGATGCATAGGTTTATTATTTACCAATAAATAAGTCAAAAGTTGATTGAATTTTGGAAAGAACTTTAATACATAGAAATGAAACTGTTTCTGGTTGCAATATTGAAGTAATAAGAGACAAAATGCTTAACTGTTTGCATATTTCACTCTAAGATGTAACTGATCTGTAATTCTTAAATGTTTAAATGATTTTTTTTTATACCATACATTTGTGCTTATATTAATCATTTGTCATTGAAATTAAGAATCCCTTTTTATTTCTTTCAGAACTTACTGGAGATGCACCATCACCAACTGTCTTGCTACGATCAATACCTGCAACAACATCATAGTAGAAGTCGGACGACATCCACACGATCACCCGGGAGATCACGCCAGCGTCGTTGCCAAGGAGATCACGAACTTCATTACTGATCGCTGCCAGCAAGAAATTAGACAAATTCCTACCATCTACAATGAGGAACTCTATAGACTGCGTGAGGACGAATGGGATGATGAGACAAGAGCCGTTGTGGAGAAGATACCCACCTTCAACACTTTGAAATCTCAACTGTACAGAGCTAGACGCAAGCTAACACCAAAGCTATCAACCACACCCCAGGACATTGAACTCGAGGGAAGATGGACAGAAAGATGGACAGAAACCACTACTGGAGAGCTTCTTGCACATTGACGATGGTTGCCAATGCAGAATCCTTGCCTTAGCCACCTCAGAGAACTTAGCTACACAAACGAGATCACTAGACTTCAACGACGCTCAGGAGGAACCAAACGACGCCGACCCAGGAAGTACAGATACCTCGACACTCGCCTTACCCTACAAACTGAAACAGAGACTGGAGAACAACACCATCGACATCATGACCTACGCCGACGCAGCATCCCAGCTTATTCACTTAGGTTGAATTGACTTTATACATATAACTCTGTTGAATAGAACCAAATGGACAGTGCTGTGATTGTATAGCTTTAATCTCGGATGATAATCATTAGTGCTGTTTATTTAATATATATCTCAGGGGCGTTTCTAGGATATTTGAAAGAGGGTGCGTAGAATGAATTTTTTTTTTTGACCTTTTGTTTTGCTAAAAAACATAAAATAATTGTGAAATGCACTAATGTAACGGTTCCTGACTTGGAGCATGTATATTTTATAGTTAAAGTGTCAGGTTGTTTATGTGTTTAATTAATGAATATAATAAATTGCCATATTCAATACAATATTAGCAGATTACGATAGTTTTTTGGGTTTTTTTGAAAAGGGGAGGGGGGGGGGGGGGGGGGGGGGGGGGTCGTACGCCCATTACGCCCCTCACCTGGACCCGCCCCTGTATCTATTGTTACAAGTTTCACACCGAGATGTATGAGAAATGATTTGTCATTATTCTTTTATTTAATATGCATCAGCATAAGGCAGATGGCCGTATTGTAATATCTATGTCAATAACTGCTCTATATTAGTGAGTTGAAGTCTAGTTATTTTCCTATTAATATTTGAGCTCATGTATGCAACTAACAACTCTGTAATGTACTGACTAAGTTTCATTATTTAATATTCTTTAAAAGATATTATGTCTTTCACTGTTCTATTTGTATTTTATGTATGTAAATAATATATTGATATTAAGTATGGATTTATCAAATAAAAATATTGCACTTGATATCAATGTCTTACTTTTCTCTCACATTGATGATGAAGATCAGCCGTTGGAGCTGTCACAGGTAGATCTACAGGTAAATATAGTACATATATGATACAAACTTTTTACCTGTAATAATCACATGTAGATCTACAGATAAAATATATCAGGTAAACATAGTACATATATGATTACCCTCTCTTTGATGTTTCTACCTATTGCTCAATATGTTGCGTTCAGGGAACGCACCAGTGTGGTACACTCGTCAGTCGGTAATGTCAACTGCGGGGTTCCTCAAGGAAGTTTGTTGGGACCACTTTTATTTTTGGTTCATGATTGAATATCAATGACATGGAAATAAGTATTGAAAATTCATGTAAATTACTTCTCTATGCGGATGACAGTGCTATCATATTCTCACATAAATGCCCTGAAACAATTTCATCTAAAATCTCCTTGGTTTTGGAATCCTGTCATGGATGGCTTGTTGACAATAAATTATCATTACATCTGGGAAAAACAGAATGTATCCTTTTTGGTCCAAAAAGAAAATTAATTCAAACACCCAAGGATAAATTTCAGGTTTCTTGCAAAGGTCAAATCATTAATTATCATTCGGCTATAAAATACCTTGGGGTGATGATTGACAGATTTTTATCTGTAGAAGAAATTGTCTCCAATGTCATTCAAAAAACAATCAAAGACTAAAATTCCTTTACAGAAATATTTTACTACTGTTGCTTGTAAATTGGTTGAAAAACTTCCATTGTGTAAAGGCTTATACCATTATATATCAAAGTTGTTTAGGTTTTTTTGTACTTAAAGAAACCCGAAAGGGATTACATTTCATCTTCATCATGTCTCAGAAGAGTTTGTGTACAGGGAGTTATGCAATTTGAATATATGTAAAAGTAACGCTCCATCTTTACTGGTGCGGAGGTTAAACCATTAAAAATTATAGAACTGTGTATATCCGTGTACATATAATTTAAAATATTCCACACTTTACCAGTAAGGCCAATATCATACAATTTTAATAGTAGACCGTCGTGCCAAACGGTATCAAACGCATTAGCGCTATCTAAAAACGACACATATATATATACATCTGAACCATTTTCCATATTATAATATACACATTCCTGCAAATTAAACGCAGTACAAAGACTACATAGATTCTTCTGATATGCTGACTGTTGCTTGTTTGGGAATATATCAGACTCTATTATATTGTTAATTCTCTTTGCAATAGCCATTTCAAACATTTAAAAAAATACTGACAAGAGGGTTATTCCCCTATAACTGTTAGGATCATCTTTCGGATTTCCGTGACCTTTATATAGAGTTACTATAATTCCCTGTTTCCAGTTTCTTGGAATATATTCTTGTTTAACAACAAGATTGAATAAATTCTGTATATGGTAAATTATAGAGTTTCCTGCATTTCTAGATCCCGGTTCCGGTTTTTATACAACGGGGGAGAGAGAGAAATAGAGGTTCCCCAACGAGTGATGGTTGGTTATCATGTCTATCTAACTCCAGGTTTACCGAGGGTCTTTTACAATTTGAAAATTAACTAACGAGAGTTAGATAAACGTGATAACTAATCATCACGTGTTTGGGAACTGTTATTTCTCCTTAACGTTCGTATTTAACATGAAAAACCAAATTTTTCAATTGGAAAATACATCACGTGTGTTTCCGATGGGGGAAACAGGTGCTATGGAGCATGACGTCACAATGGAAAATGACGTCGAAAGCATTGTACGTGACGTCATAAAACAAAGATTGACAAATGAAATCACGTCCAGAGTGTTTAATGAGTTGGGAGTGAGGAAATCTACAGTGGTTGTGGGAGAAAGAGCAGTTCACGTTAGTTTTTGGTGCGTTATAGCACTCTTAATGCCTCCAAAGTAGGGGCACACACCAAATCCTCCTCCATGTGATTCCAGTCTATGCCGGGTTGTACACAAAAATGAGTTCCTGCAATAACAGTATTATTCAGTTGCACGTTGGTACTGTGTGTTAGGATTTACATTTCTTTAAAATGCACTAAACAGAACGTTTGATTGATGTTGACGTTAATTTCATTCGATCCATATACTCATACTATTCTGATTTGCGTTTTGACTTTGGCTAAAAATGAAAAATACAATGACAACCCTGGTAAAACGAGATTTCAAATCAATTAACTAAATGAGTTGTTTTTTTCCGCCAGATACGCACAATGTATCAAACCAATCAATGTTCCAATATAGAATTGTGTTTAGGTTGATTTTTAGTTCAGTGTTCAGTGGTGTTGCACTGAACTTGACCAGATGAGATGGTCCAATTATACCTAAATATAATATTCAATACAAACGTTCGATATTTTTGAAGATATTTATTCTGTTCTGATGCCTTTGTCCTGTGATTTAACTTAATTCCAAATGATAGCGTACATTTAGGCCTATACGGCGATGCAATAACTTCGGCAGCTTTAGGTTCGGTTGGTGCTTCATTACTGGTTCGAGCGCAGTACGATTGTAATGTTGTGTATAGTAACGAAGACTTCCGGTAGTTTTGAAGGAACTAGACCATGTCTTGTTATGGGGGTTTGACACGAGCTGACAGAAATGCCTTAATATAGAGGTAGTATAATATCATAAGGAATATTCTTGATAATTTATTCCACCTGTTTGCAATTCAATTTACACCTTTATGCCCATGTTATGACCCAATTATGTGCCACGACGGAACAAGCACTTGCTCAAACTATCACTGACAAGCACTTATAAATTGACTTTCTATAATAGCTACTGTAGAAATAATTAAAGGCGTGCACAATCTAAAATACTTTAGTATTGTCGATACCACAGAGTTAGTAGCAAATCGAGGCCATGGGTAAACAAAATATTAAATTGTTGTTAAACTGTAACAGTGTAACACGAACACAAATTGACAAAACAGAAACACAGATCTATAAGCTGATCATGTTTAATTGCAATTGTACGATTTCCAGAATGGACTTCAGTTATCACCATACGTAGTAGCTGAGAATAAAGCAGCACACTATGGAGCGGGGGAGTCACTTTGGAACCAGCCTGTCACACAGCTTCAGCATGCCAAGTCTGGCCGAGGGCAGTGAGCCTATCAGTGAAGCAGAGGAACTCCTGGAGGTAAAAGCCGGTTTTAAACATAGTTTTGGTTTCTAACTTTTAGGATAACAGTCACGAAAATGATTAAACTTCGTTGATGCATGTATCCACCTTTACGAAAAACATATACAATCAATGGAATAAAATGTTGCTGTGGATTGAACTATCATACACAACAATACTATGTGACACCAAAAACATAGTCGAAAACCATTTGTTATCAACTCTAAATGCTTCAAATCAACAGTGTGCAATACTGAACTTTTCAAAAACTCCTTTTCCCCATCCACCACTCTGGAGTGGAACAAACTTCCAGACAAAGTTATGTGTGCAAGCTCTATGGCTACCTTTTAAGACAGCCCTCAGGCCGAAGGACTAGTACCCACGACAGCCCTCAGGCCGAAGGACTAGTACCTACGACAGCCCTCAGGCCGAAGGACTAGTACCTAGGACAGCACTCTCTCCCCCGTCGCGTTTATACCTTAACAGGTTCTGCGACGTACCTATCCAGATCCAGACTATAAGAACATTAACATTATTAATACTAATTCATGAATCACTATGTTCAGTAATGATTAATGTTGTATTTATAGGTGAAAACACTAAAGGAAAGAGGAGATGAAGCCATGCATATCCATGACTATGGGGAGGCCATAAAACTTTACAATGAGGCTTTGGAAATAGATGACAGAAACGTGGAGGTATTGATGGCTCGAACAGCTGCCTATCTCGAGGAGGGAGACTTCATCAGGGCTCTACGGGACACGGAACAGATGATCTTGATTGAGGCAGACAACCCAGAGGTAGGCTTAACCCTTTCACTACTGTAGACCATAATGGACTCATCCAGATCAATGCATGGTAGATTCCACTAAAGTTACATTGGGGTGAAAGGGTTAAATGGCATCCAGACTTGATCTGTAATATCTGTGTCACCTCTATCATAATATAAGCAACACACATGTAACTGATAATTTTGCTTGTAAATCAAATTATTATACATTATGAAAATAACATGGTGAGAAGTTTAAGTTGGGTTAGAAGCATTAAAACACTGGCTGGAAAGTGATGTGTAAACATACACACAATTCGCCTGTGACTTGTGTTCAAATTCCATTGACTAAAACACTTGGTATTAATACCATATCAAACTGATAAGATAAATTATTTCCACTCTTCTCCAAAATGTGGGATTTGTATTTCTAAATCAAATGCCAAGTTCTTCAGTTCTGGTTGATAGCTTTGTAGATTTGTTAGAATTTGAGGCTTAAAAAGTAAAGTCTGTTTATTATATTTGTAATTTGATAAATTGTATCTGCAGAGCAAAAGTTCAAATTGAACACATAATTCTACAATCAAGACTACTCATGTGTTGAAGAAACTATATGTAGTTTGTTTCTACATTTTGTGTTACACACAGATATACAAATTGCAAGGGATAACTCTCTTCCACATGCAACACAATCGAGAGTCCATTAATGCCTTGCTGACAGCCCTTGATCTTGACCCTGACAATGCTGAGGACATCACAGATCACATTGCTGCTGTGGTTGGCAACATCTGTAATCTGTCTATAGACTTGGCAGAATCATTACTTGGTAATATTTGTACAAGTTTACTATCTCACATCTGGTCCTCAACTAAATTGCATTTCTCTCAAAAAATATTTATAATTAAACAAGACTCTTAGTTATTCAAATTTTATTTTGAAAGTATGTTTTAGATAATTATAAAGAAACTTTTAATGAAAAGGAGCTACATTGTATTTCATATTAAATCAGTTTCCTAAAGTTTGTTTGTTTGGGGTTGTACTGTAGGTAGAAAGCCAGATGTTATAGATCTTTATATGTTTCTATTTATTTCACAGATATGGATGCCTACAAGAAGCTGAGTGAGGTTGGTGTATGTCTGTTCCAGGCTAAGAAGTTTGATGTTTGTGTTAAAGTGCTTGAATCTGCCCAGAAGTTCCAAACAAATCAGAAGGGCATTACCATGCGTGTGTTACTGACCATGGCGAATGCTCACTCTGCTATGAAGCATAGTGAACAGGCAATAAGTTTGTACCAGGAGTGCTTGTCCACGGCCATCGCCACCCACGAACAGATCTATCAGACCAAAGCACTAGTAAACATTGCCACCTTATACTTGGAAAGTGGAGATCTACATCAGGCTATAGTGTACTATGAAAAGTTATTGCATCTCGAGTCAGAACTTATTGAGGAGTTTGGGACGGAGGACCACATCCCTGACTTTTGGACTCGGGAACTTCAGTGTGGTCTCCATCTGAATCTTAGCATAGCCTACAAGTCTATTGGTAACATGCACTGTGCTGTAGTACATGCTAGGCAATACACAAGCCTACTTGACAAGTACAACATGACTGGCAAGATAATTGGCGAGTCTTTTCACAATGCAGGCATGCTCAATGAAATTCTAGGAAATTACAGGGAAGCTTTGAAAAATTATGAAATGTATCTAAAAAACTCTAAACAAGCTGGGGATAAAAAAGGGATGGCTCAGGCCTATGGGTGCCTGGGCACTGTGTATGCAGCACTGCGCAACTGGAAGCTGTCAATTACTTATCATGAGCAATACATCTCAATAGCCGACAAATCAAAAGACACCAAAATGATGACAATCTCCAGAGAAATGTTGGCTGACACATACATGTTGAAGGGGGATTGTGAGGCAGCTGTCCAGCACTATGAGGCTATGTCTAACACATGCTTACGAACCGATTATCGTGGAAAAGCTACTGCTTTGTGTAAAATGGGAAATGCCTTCCGTGAACTCAAGAGGAACCAGTACAGCATGCATTACTATGAACAGGCATACAACCTGGCTCAGGACTACTTATACTCTGACATTCAGACACTCTGTGAGTTCAGTTTAGCCTGTATCAAACAACATTCCACACAAATGATGGACATTGAGCTAGCTAGGAAGTATTTTTCAAAACTGATTCCATTTTTGGAAATGAAAATACGTGAGCATCAAGATGAGGACACTCACTGTCCTGTGGAGTACCACCAGCAGCTGGTCCAGTGCTATGACGGAATGCAATGTGTTCTCGCCAAGCTTGGCAGCAAACAGGAATGTCTACAATTTGCAGAGATGTACAGACGACGTCACCTGACCCAGCAGGCTGGCTATCTGGCCTCACTCTCTTTGGGGCTGACCAGTCATGGGTCAGTGCTTGAGGTATGGAATCTTGACCGTATGAATCGAGTGGTGAGCCAACAGAGTGCTTATGTGCTGTATTACTCCCTCATCAACAGTCACCTGTTACTGTGGGTGCTGGCTCCAGGTCAGGGCATCGTCAGATTCTATTCTCGCAAGGCAGAGGACAACACAGACATGGTGCAGCAGGTCAGTAGCATTTCTATAACTTCAAAGTGTATTCACTTAATGTGAAGATGTTGTCATAAGGTCTGAACAAGTAAACAGCAGGAAGTGTTTCTGGTTTCATCTATAGTCGGTAGATAAAGGAACCTTTTTTTCGTTTCACGGTATCATTTTACCTACAGTTTAAAACAAGGATAGTGATTTTAGCATTGCTTGGCTAAAATTTGCATCAAAACTATCAGGGATAGGCCATTAGGGTAAGTGGGTCAACCTGAAGCAAGCAACTATTTAGTTTAAGAATTAAAGGCCATGTCCCAAGGTGGTTTAGAATGGTATAAAGTAACTGTTATGTCTTTATCAAAGCTGACATGACTATATGGGAACCCTTGTTAAATTTAAGTTTTTCTTCTAGTGCCTTCATGTCTGATACATCTGAAAGAGATCAATATCATCAATAACCTTAGCTGTTGTAAGATGTAAAGTCCTCCATCAATCATTCATGAAAGTTTAAATATAGAAGTCCTTATTATTTCCTTGCCAAGATGTGTTAACTTGTGGCATCTTTTGCACATGCATTATTATCATGTGGCCACTTAGTATTATTGATTGGTGATGTAATTATTAATTATTATCATGTGGCCACTTATTATTATTGATTGGTGATGTATTTGCTAATTATTATCATGTGGCCACTTATTATTATTGATTGGTGATGTAATTACTAATTATTATCATGGCTACAACTTAGTAAATTGTGGCAATGGTTAACACTCGAGGTCAATATATGATATTCTTTCCTTGTGTCATCTGGAAGCTTCATACTTAAGATGAATTAATGGATGAATAATTTCAATATTTTCTTTGAAAAGAGGTACTTGATTGATCTTGTAGGTTAAAGACATCCTAGATGAACTGAGGACCTATACAGACCGTAAGTCTATACAAAACTCATGTGAGAACAGATGCTTGCCTCCAAAAGATCTTGAATTAGACTTAGTGCGAAAAAGAAACTTGATGTTGGGGAAATCTGTCAGTGATTTAAAAAAGACCAGGTCCGAGGACGAAGCATCCACAGACAAACCTCTAAAGACACCGGCTCGCAGACTGTTTGATCTTCTGCTGGCCCCAGTGGAGGATATTCTGATAAAGCTCGACCCCAAGAGTCAACTCATCATCATTCCGGACAAACAACTCCACCACTGTCCTTTTGGTATCCTACAGGATTGGTACTCAAGGTACTCATGCACTGTCCTAATGTCTCCTTGGTAACATACATCTACATACCCCAATGTTCCTGTGGTAACATACATGTACATACGCCACTGTTACGGTGGTAACATACATCTACATACACCAATGTTACTGTGGTAACATTCATCCACATACCCCACTGTTACTGTGGTAACATAGTTCCATATACTCCACTGTTACTGTGGTAACATACATCCACATACCCCACTGTTACTGTTGTAACATTCATCCACATACCCCACTGTTACTGTGGTAACATTCATCCACATACCCCACTGTTACTGTGGTAACATTCATCCACATACCCCACTGTTACTGTGGTAACATACATCCACAGACCCCACTGTTACTGTGGTAACATACATCCATATACCCCACTGTTACTGTGGTAACATACATCTACATCCCCCAATGTTACTGTGGTAACATACATCTACATACCCCAATGTTACTGTGGTACCATACATCTACATACCCCACCGTTACTGTGGTAACATACATCCACATACCCCACTGTAACTGTGGTAACATACATCCACATACGCCACTGTTACTGTGGTAACATACATCTACATACACCACTGTTACTGTGGTAACATACATGTACATACCCCAATGTTACTGTGGTAACATACTTCCATATATCCCACTGTTACTGTGGTAACATACATCTACATCCCCCAATGTTACTGTGGTAACATACATCTACATACGCCACTGTTACTGTGGTAACATACATCTACATCCCCCAATGTTACTGTGGTAACATACATCCACATACACCACTGTTTCTGTGGTAACATACATACACATAACCCACTGTTACTGTGGTAACATACATCCATATAACCCACTGTTACTGTGGTAACATCCATCCACATACCCCACTGTTACTGTGGTAACATACATCTACATACCCCAATGTTACTGTGGTAACATACATCCACATACACCACTGTTTCTGTGGTAACATACATCCACATAACCCACTGTTACTGTGGTAACATACATCCATATAACCCACTGTTACTGTGGTAACATACATCCACATACCCCACTGTTACTGTGGTAATATACATCCACATATGCCACTGTTACTGTGGTAACATACATCCACATAACCCACTGTTCCTGTGGTAACATACATCCACATACCCCACTGTTACTGTGGTAACATGCATCCACACACCCCACTGTTACTGTGGTAACATACATCTACATACCCCAATGTTACTGTGGTAAAATACTTCCATATACGCCACTGTTACTGTGGTAACATACATCTACATACCCCACTGTTACTGTGGAAACATACATCCACATACCCCACTGTTACTGGGGTAACATACATCCACATACCCCACTGTTCCTGTGGTAACATACATCCACATACCCCACAGTTACTGGGGTAACATTCATCCACATACCCCACTGTTACTGTGGTAACATTCATCTACATACCCCCTGTTACTGTGGTAACATACATCCACATCACCCACTGTTCCTGTGGTAACATACATCCACATACCCCACAGTTACTGGGGTAACATTCATCCACATACCCCACTGTTACTGGGGTAACATACATCCACATAACCCACTGTTACTGTGGTAACATACATCCATTTACCCCATTGTTACTGTGGTAACATACATCCACATACGCCACTGTTACTGTGGTAACATACATCTACATACCCCAATGTTACTGTGGTAGCATATACATCCACACACCCCACTGTTACTGTGGTAACATACATCCACACACCCCACTGTTACTGTGGTAACATGCATCCACACATTCCACTGTTACTATGGTACATCCACACACCCCACTGTTATTGTGGTAACATACATCCACATACCCCACTGTTACTGTGGTAACATGCATCCACACACCCCACTGTTACTGTGGTAACATACATCTACATACCCCAATGTTACTGTGGTAACATACATCCACATACCCCACTGGAACCTTGGTAACCTTCATCCACATAGCCAACTGTTTCTGACTGGTAACCTGTATCACACATCCCACTGTCACTTTGGTCACTTACAGGATTAGTAATCTAGTTTGTCATCCACATTCCACATTGATATGGTTGCTATGTAATGTATTCTCCCTGGTTATTACTTTTAGGTATTTATATGACAGATTCCGTATTACCTACCTCCCCAGCCTACTAGCTTTGGAGAAAGTTGTAAACAATGAACTGAATCACCTACGAGCCAAGGATGACTTGGAGTTTGAGCGGACTCAAGCACGAAAGGGTGGCCTCACTAAGGTGTTGTCACTTATGATGCCATCTGCTAGTACAACTCCAGGTGAAAGCTCCAGTGTGTCATCGTCGGAGGACCTTTTTGACCTTAAAAAGGTTTCCAACCCTCGGCTAGTGACATCCAGTATGTCAAGGGTAAAGACTCCAGTCAGAAACAACACAAAGTTGTCAGATGAAGTAAGCAAAAATGTGACACGACAGTCCACACAGATCTTACCTGGAATCTCCGAGTTTTCTGGCACTGAGTCAGCCAGTCTCCAACACTTACCTGTGGGGACACTGAAACCTGTGGGCCAGGGAACAGCACCACCAGTGGTGGGCTATCCTGTCCTCCCAGACAAAATGCTCAACATCCACAACTACTCCACTCTTACCACAAAGACATCGACTGGTACTGACATAACCACCTCAAGTCAATGTGTCACACAGTTTGAGCAGGTATCCAGTCAAGACCGGTGTATGGTGATTGGTAACCCCCAGCTCCCAGAAAAGTAAGTTAAGATGGTGCTACAGTTCCCAGAAAAGTGAGTTAAGATGGTGCTACAGCTCCCAGAAAAGTAAGTTAAGATGGTGCTACAGCTCCCAGAAAAGTAAGTTAAGGTGGTGCTACAGCTCCCAGAAAAGTAAGTTAAGATGGTGCTACAGCTCCCAGAAAAGTAAGTTAAGATGGTGCTACAGCTCCCAGAAAAGTAAGTTAAGGTGGTACTACAGTTCCCAGAAAAGTAAGTTAAGATGGTGCTACAGCTCCCAGAAAAGAAAGTTAAGGGGGTAATACAGCTCCCAGAAAAGTAAGTTAAAGCGGTGCTACAGATCCCAGAAGAGTAAGTTAAGATGGTGCTACAGCTCCAAGAAAAGTTAGTTAAGATGGTGCTACAGCTCCCAAAAAAGTAAGTTAAGGTGGTGCTACAGCTTCCTGAAAAGTAAGTTAGGGTAGTATGACTTCCAGGCAGAGTAAACTAACATTGCACAATTGTCAGGTGGCACTCCAGCAGCCTAAAAGAGTTTTATAACAATGTACATTTGAAAGTACAAAAATGGCTACATTCATTATTTGCTTATTTATTGTTGCATTTGTTTACGTTTAAGAAATTGAAATATTTAAAAAAAAGCTTTAAGTTTTTTTCAAACAAATCAGATCCAATTTAAAATACTGCATATAAATTGTGTGTCAAATAAGTACACACAAAAATTTAGCACAAGGTCAGTTATTATTAATAAGCTTTTTTCTCACAGGTTAATGCTACATGGACGTGAGTGGCGGCCTTCCTTATTGGACCTTGATTGGGCATGTCGTGAGTGTAAAACTGTTGCTTCCTACCTAGATGTAGACGCTGTCATGGGTCGTGAGGCGACTAAGGCACGGTTTCTGCAGAACGCAGCCAAGGCCACTGTCCTACACATAGGTACATTTGTCTAGTTATTAGAACCACTGTTGTTTCATTTTATTGTGTTTTGAAGTGATCAGTACCCATATTGAGGTTAATGTATAACAAAAAAAAGACTGTAAATATTCTCCTGTTTCAATATATTATGTATAGTCTAAATGTTAACATTTTCATAAAAAACAGTGGCTGGTAGCTTGCTATACCTTCATGGTTTGATTGATACACTTTCAGCTACATACGGATGTTACAAGGAGGGATTGCTTGTGTTCAGCCCTAGCCCGGTCCAGCTAGAGGAAGGACCCCCTAAGGAGTCATCCTACCTGGTCACTGTAGAGGACATCCTTGACCTGAAGCTGTCTGCCCAGCTGGTTACACTAAATGTAGGCTATAGTCCCTACAGACTTCAAGAAACCATCAACCCTGGATATGAGCTGGCAAGCGCATTCCTGGCAGCTGGTAATTGCATTGATTCATCAATAGTTGTTATTTCTATGTCATTGCTTGATCACATGTGACGCAGAACTGGACTAGTTCATGTTGGTGAGAGGTGACCATTTAGCTTTGTTGGTGAGAGGGTCTGTCTAAAGTTCGGTGTACCTGTTATAATCCTAGTCTGCATGGCCCTATTCCATTTCCTTCTTACACATGTAAAGCTACATGTATATATGTAACAACCTTTCTTGGAAAAATAATGTAACTTTTGTACAATCCCTTGCGAAACATTCTTGTTAGATTGACAGATATGTTATGAAGTGATAAACTGTTTACTGCTATACATGCTATGTGTACGTTACTGTCACATAAACTCCTTTCCTAAAGAGTGGGTATTTAGATTGTATGTACTTTGTGAGGTTTGTGCCACAGTATTAATGGGTATTTAGATTGTATGTACTTTGTGAGGTTTGTGCCACAGTATTAATGGGTATTTAGATTGTATGTACTTTGTGAGGTTTGTGCCACAGTATTAATCCTACATGCACATGTGTTGACAGTACTCTTGATCTTGTACAGGGGCGGAGTGTGTACTGCTGCATACCTGGCCCTTACCTAACGAGGCAGTGAACAAGTTCTACTTCCACTTCTATGCCAAGCTCCAGACAGGGGCTTATTTAACTACAGCGATCTCCACTGCTCTCACGGCAGTCAAGGAAGATAACAGGTCAGCATTTAGTATATATCACAAACTTTCAGTTTGATGCGCTCTATAATGTATAACCTTAGAATGGTTCTCAGCTGAGCATTTAGATAGGGTCAAATAAATCATTTATTCACAGTACAAATCAATGTTTTTGGTTTCAAAGTGTTAACAAACCCCTGATACCCCTGATTTGTCAACGTTGACTGTACACATTCTGTAGTAAATAGAATTGTGTCTACTTTGAGACCTGTTTTTTAGCTCCTCTGGTATACAATATTGTACCTGCTTTGTAGTATTGTGTATCAGGTTCCCATCATTTTTTTCTGCTTTGTGTTGTGTAAAGGTTCAGTGAGGTATACTTCTGGAGTCCATTTGTACTGGTCGGTAAGGATGTGATGGTCAACTTGAAGGAGATCCGACATTCCCAGCTGGACCAGACACTCGATAGAACGGAGAAAGCTGTAGAGGAAGAGTCCGGAAAAGAAATGCTAAACCCCAAGTCTTCTCTGCCTAAAGGTGAAGTGTAACAACGTGTACATTCTGTTAATAACTGTCTGTAGTTTACTGCTTTCTATATATATGTTGTATTTATAGCGTACCTTCTCAAGTCTGTTTCTACTGCTGTCAGCATAAATCTGATCAAAAACAATGAGTCACAAAATATAATATTGGGGATTAAGTATTAATAGTAAAATGCCATTGGTGTTATGTTGTTTACAGTGTCATTATATGTTTATGTTGTTTACAGTGTCATTATCCTGTTGTTTACATTATCAGTATAAGTTTATGTTGTTTACAGTGTCAGTATATGTTTATGTTGTTTACAGTATCAGTGTATGTTTATGCTGTTTACAGTGTCATTATGCTGTTGTTTACAGTATCAGTATATATTTATGTTGTTTACAGTGTCATTAGCCTGTTGTTTACAGTATGAGTATATGTTTATGCTGTTTACAGTGTCATTATGCTGTTGTTTACAGTATCAGTATATATTTATGTTGTTTACAGTGTCATTAGCCTGTTGTTTACAGTATGAGTATATGTTTATGTTGTTTACATTGTCATTATCCTGTTGTTTACATTATCAGTATAAGTTTATGTTGTTTACAGTGTCAGTATATGTAAGTATTAATAGTAAAATGCCATTGGTGTTATGTTGTTTACAGTGTCATTATATGTTTATGTTGTTTACAGTGTCACTATACTGTTTTTTACAGTATCAGTATATGTTTATGTTGATTACAGTATCAATATATGTTTATGTTGTTTACAGTATCAGTATATGTTTATGTTGTTTACAGTATCAATATATGTTTATGTTGTTTACAGTATCAGTGTATGTTTATGCTGTTTACAGTGTCATTATGCTGTTGTTTACAGTATCAGTATATATTTATGTTGTTTACAGTGTCATTAGCCTGTTGTTTACAGTGTCAGTATATGTTTATGTTGTTTACAGTGGCATTATCCTGTTGTTTACAGTATCAGTATATGTTTGTTGTTTACAGTGTCATTAGCCTGTTGTTTACAGTATCAGTATATGTTTATGTTGTTTAGAGTGTCATTATCCTGTTGTTTACAGTGTCAGTATATGTTTATGTTGTTTACAGTATTAGTATATGTTTATGTTGTTTACAGTATCAATATATGTTTATGTTGTTTACAGTCTCAGTATATGTTTATGTTGTTTACAGTGTCATTAGCCTGTTGTTTACAGTGTCAGTATATGTTTATGTTGTTTACAGTGTCACTATACTGTTTTTTACAGTATCAGTATATGTTTATGTTGTTTACAGTATCAATATATGTTTATGTTGTTTACAGTATCAGTATATGTTTATGTTGTTTACAGTGTCATTATCCTGTTGTTTACAGTATCAGTATATGTTTATGTTGTTTACAGTGTCATTATCCTGTTGTTTACAGTATCAGTATATGTTTATGTTGTTTACAGTGTCATTATCCTGTTGTTTACAGTATCAGTATATGTTTATGTTGTTTACAGTGTCATTATCCTGTTGTTTACAGTATCAGTATATGTTTATGTTGTTTACAGTGTCATTATCCTGTTGTTTACAGTATCAGTATATGTTTATGTTGTTTACAGTGTCATTATCCTGTTGTTTACAGTATCAGTATATGTTTATGTTGTTTACAGTGTCATTATCCTGTTGTTTACAGTATCAGTATATGTTTATGTTGTTTACAGTGTCATTATCCTGTTGTTTACAGTATCAGTATATGTTTATGTTGTTTACAGTGTCATTATCCTGTTGTTTACAGTATCAGTATATGTTTATGTTGTTTACAGTGTCATTATCCTGTTGTTTACAGTATCAGTATATGTTTATGTTGTTTACAGTGTCATTATCCTGTTGTTTACAGTATCAGTATATGTTTATGTTGTTTACAGTGTCATTATCCTGTTGTTTACAGTATCAGTATATGTTTATGTTGTTTACAGTGTCATTATCCTGTTGTTTACAGTATCAGTATATGTTTATGTTGTTTACAGTGTCATTATCCTGTTGTTTACAGTATCAGTATATGTTTATGTTGTTTACAGTGTCATTATCCTGTTGTTTACAGTATCAGTATATGTTTATGTTGTTTACAGTGTCATTATCCTGTTGTTTACAGTATCAGTATATGTTTATGTTGTTTACAGTGTCATTATCCTGTTGTTTACAGTATCAGTATATGTTTATGTTGTTTACAGTGTCATTATCCTGTTGTTTACAGTATCAGTATATGTTTATGTTGTTTACAGTGTCATTATCCTGTTGTTTACAGTATCAGTATATGTTTATGTTGTTTACAGTGTCATTATCCTGTTGTTTACAGTATCAGTATATGTTTATGTTGTTTACAGTGTCATTATCCTGTTGTTTACAGTATCAGTATATGTTTATGTTGTTTACAGTGTCATTATCCTGTTGTTTACAGTATCAGTATATGTTTATGTTGTTTACAGTGTCATTATCCTGTTGTTTACAGTATCAGTATATGTTTATGTTGTTTACAGTGTCATTATCCTGTTGTTTACAGTATCAGTATATGTTTATGTTGTTTACAGTGTCATTATCCTGTTGTTTACAGTATCAGTATATGTTTATGTTGTTTACAGTGTCATTATCCTGTTGTTTACAGTATCAGTATATGTTTATGTTGTTTACAGTGTCATTATCCTGTTGTTTACAGTATCAGTATATGTTTATGTTGTTTACAGTGTCATTATCCTGTTGTTTACAGTATCAGTATATGTTTATGTTGTTTACAGTGTCATTATCCTGTTGTTTACAGTATCAGTATATGTTTATGTTGTTTACAGTGTCATTATCCTGTTGTTTACAGTATCAGTATATGTTTATGTTGTTTACAGTGTCATTATCCTGTTGTTTACAGTATCAGTATATGTTTATGTTGTTTACAGTGTCATTATCCTGTTGTTTACAGTATCAGTATATGTTTATGTTGTTTACAGTGTCATTATCCTGTTGTTTACAGTATCAGTATATGTTTATGTTGTTTACAGTGTCATTATCCTGTTGTTTACAGTATCAGTATATGTTTATGTTGTTTACAGTGTCATTATCCTGTTGTTTACAGTATCAGTATATGTTTATGTTGTTTACAGTGTCATTATCCTGTTGTTTACAGTATCAGTATATGTTTATGTTGTTTACAGTGTCATTATCCTGTTGTTTACAGTATCAGTATATGTTTATGTTGTTTACAGTGTCATTATCCTGTTGTTTACAGTATCAGTATATGTTTATGTTGTTTACAGTGTCATTATCCTGTTGTTTACAGTATCAGTATATGTTTATGTTGTTTACAGTGTCATTATCCTGTTGTTTACAGTATCAGTATATGTTTATGTTGTTTACAGTGTCATTATCCTGTTGTTTACAGTATCAGTATATGTTTATGTTGTTTACAGTGTCATTATCCTGTTGTTTACAGTATCAGTATATGTTTATGTTGTTTACAGTGTCATTATCCTGTTGTTTACAGTATCAGTATATGTTTATGTTGTTTACAGTGTCATTATCCTGTTGTTTACAGTATCAGTATATGTTTATGTTGTTTACAGTGTCATTATCCTGTTGTTTACAGTATCAGTATATGTTTATGTTGTTTACAGTGTCATTATCCTGTTGTTTACAGTATCAGTATATGTTTATGTTGTTTACAGTGTCATTATCCTGTTGTTTACAGTATCAGTATATGTTTATGTTGTTTACAGTGTCATTATCCTGTTGTTTACAGTATCAGTATATGTTTATGTTGTTTACAGTGTCATTATCCTGTTGTTTACAGTATCAGTATATGTTTATGTTGTTTACAGTGTCATTATCCTGTTGTTTACAGTATCAGTATATGTTTATGTTGTTTACAGTGTCATTATCCTGTTGTTTACAGTATCAGTATATGTTTATGTTGTTTACAGTGTCATTATCCTGTTGTTTACAGTATCAGTATATGTTTATGTTGTTTACAGTGTCATTATCCTGTTGTTTACAGTATCAGTATATGTTTATGTTGTTTACAGTGTCATTATCCTGTTGTTTACAGTATCAGTATATGTTTATGTTGTTTACAGTGTCATTATCCTGTTGTTTACAGTATCAGTATATGTTTATGTTGTTTACAGTGTCATTATCCTGTTGTTTACAGTATCAGTATATGTTTATGTTGTTTACAGTGTCATTATCCTGTTGTTTACAGTATCAGTATATGTTTATGTTGTTTACAGTGTCATTATCCTGTTGTTTACAGTATCAGTATATGTTTATGTTGTTTACAGTGTCATTATCCTGTTGTTTACAGTATCAGTATATGTTTATGTTGTTTACAGTGTCATTATCCTGTTGTTTACAGTATCAGTATATGTTTATGTTGTTTACAGTGTCATTATCCTGTTGTTTACAGTATCAGTATATGTTTATGTTGTTTACAGTGTCATTATCCTGTTGTTTACAGTATCAGTATATGTTTATGTTGTTTACAGTGTCATTATCCTGTTGTTTACAGTATCAGTATATGTTTATGTTGTTTACAGTGTCATTATCCTGTTGTTTACAGTATCAGTATATGTTTATGTTGTTTACAGTGTCATTATCCTGTTGTTTACAGTATCAGTATATGTTTATGTTGTTTACAGTGTCATTATCCTGTTGTTTACAGTATCAGTATATGTTTATGTTGTTTACAGTGTCATTATCCTGTTGTTTACAGTATCAGTATATGTTTATGTTGTTTACAGTGTCATTATCCTGTTGTTTACAGTATCAGTATATGTTTATGTTGTTTACAGTGTCATTATCCTGTTGTTTACAGTATCAGTATATGTTTATGTTGTTTACAGTGTCATTATCCTGTTGTTTACAGTATCAGTATATGTTTATGTTGTTTACAGTGTCATTATCCTGTTGTTTACAGTATCAGTATATGTTTATGTTGTTTACAGTGTCATTATCCTGTTGTTTACAGTATCAGTATATGTTTATGTTGTTTACAGTGTCATTATCCTGTTGTTTACAGTATCAGTATATGTTTATGTTGTTTACAGTGTCATTATCCTGTTGTTTACAGTATCAGTATATGTTTATGTTGTTTACAGTGTCATTAGCCTGTTGTTTACAGTGTCAGTATATGTTTATGTTGTTTACAGTGTCATTATTCTGTTGTTTACAGTGTCAGTATATGTTTATGTTGTTTACTGTGTCATTATCCTGTTGTTTACAGTGTCAGTATATGTTTATGTTGTTTACAGTTCCTGTGAGGGAGGAGCACCTGCTGACTCTGCAGTCCCTTTTGGGAACTGTGTTGTACCATCACTCCAAACAGCCACAAGTAGTCCCAGAGCTCATAGACCTGGTAAGGCTGTACTAGTTTATCTTTCGACACAAATCTTATATATTGGAATCCATATAATGGTTTTATTTTCAGAAAATATTAGTGATCAAAAGGTTATTCACAATAGGGTTTCATCATTTGATTTAGTGAAATGCTGACCTTCTTTAGAATTGTTGTATATGTCATGAGACAATCTTAGGAAATTGTTTTATCATATTGACCAATCATGTCATTTGATAATAATCATCTGACTCCATGGGTGGAGGGAGGCTTTTTCTGTGTTTAGTTATTCATTAATATTTGTTACAACAGCTATAAAGTAAGAGTAAGTGTATGATGCAGTCAGGACGTAATGATAAATGAGAAAGTTTTATCTTGTCTCTAGTTGGACAGTTCTCTGAAGAGGCTTCACACAGAGGAACTCAACCAACAGACCACAAACCTGTCGGAGCACCTGACAGCCAGTATTGGTGGCCTTGACCTGCTAAAGTGTCTGGGGTTCCACTTCCAGGCCAAAGGCTCCACCCTGGCAGACCCATATGTGGTGTACCCTCACTGGAACAGGGATGAACTACTTGTACCTACATATGATGCTCTTAGGGCTGTTAGTGGTAAGTTAGCCCTAAAGGTGTGTCCACTAGGTGATGATTCTTGATACGGTTTAATCCTACATAGTTCTAATAGTATTGTTTGTGTTGGTTGATATTTTAAACCCTACTGTTAGGCCTGAGTAGTAACGGTAAATATAATGATATTCCTTTACGATATTTTCAGAGGATTAATTGTAAAACATGATGCATTTCACTTATCATAACATCTTTTATTATCATTTTTTGCTGAATATTAAGTTTTCTTGAAACACTGTGTTTTTCTAACTATATGATCTATGTAATTTAATTCTCTTAATGTGACTAGCTCCACTGTATATTGTTTTATTTTGACCATTATCAACAGTTTTCAAGGAAACTTTACCTGTGCTTCAGTGAAACACCTTCAGTTCATGATCCTGGGCATGTTGTGCATAGATGCATATAGCACAACCAGTGAAATGTTTTTGTGTTGTGTACACTATTTACTCTGTTACCTTCATCAGACAAATGGGAGATAAAGCATAACACACAATGGTGTAAAACATGTATGAGTTGGCAATAAAATCACTGTTGACTTTGCTATGCTATGTGCTTATGTACACTCAGTTATTATGCATACGAAATGAAGATTAAATTGGCAAATCAATTTGGCTACTTTAATACCTGGTCATAGATGTGCAAGAGTCTATGAGCAATTCAGAACAGGCCTGTGGCAGAGTTATCTCAGTTGATAATGTAATTTGGCATGATTTGTGATTGCAGACTTTTTTGATCTGGGACTTGATCTCATTGGTTAAATTTGTTTCCTTATTTGGTTTCTGTATCTTTCCAGTGTTTACTAGGTCAAACCCCAAATCACCTTCCAGTTTATCTTATATATGATGTGTCACAGTTCCTGCATCTGATAGTGTACATGTATTCTGCAATATTTTCTTTAAGGGCATTATACTTAGGCTGTAAATGGATATTACAAAGTGTCTTGTGGTGCTACATGCCTGTAGTGATGCCATGGCCACACTTTATCCCCTGAATGTTTTCAAAAAGTCCTTAATGTAATGGATGTCCAGCTGACCATTCATTTTGTTTTTCTCCTTTTCTTGAACTTTATTTACTTTGAAACCATTTTTGTACATTTCTGGGTGCCCATTCTTGATATACACATGTTTTTGGTGCCTCTGTGATGTGATTTTGCACTTGCATTTTGTCCTATTGTTTTGTGACAGCAGGCCAGTTAGGAATCGAGATGAGGGGATCCTATACTCTCACACATCTATTACCAGGTATTAAACAATGTGTAACTGATGTTTTTTGTCAGATGATCATCATTTCATACATGTATAACAACTATAGCATTGCTGAATTAATGGTAATGTTATTGCCTACTCATACATGTTTAGCACTTTTGCATATATACATTTTACTGGTCCTTAATTGTCTCATGTAGGTGACAGTGTGCACACTGTTCTAGCCATCAAAATGCATATGACACACATAAAGATTGTGCATTTACCTTCATATCAACAGAGTGGTAGTGTACATTTATGCATATTTTGCCAACATTATCAAGCATTCCAATATTTTCCTTCATTCAGTTTATTTATTTTACTTACAAGTTTCACATGAACTTAGAGAACTGTCTGGTCTATCTGAGACCACTCCTACTGTTATGATTTAAATGCTATTGAATAATAAATATACGTCATAACAGATAGGAGGTTATGTGTTTCAGAGATCACTAAGGAGACCACATGTACGGAGAGGATCTACAACATGCTTCCTTTGTCACAGGACACCATATCTCTTATCATTGACCTGGTAGGTAGCTCAACTACTGCCTTCCCCACTGCTGTAGATATACTGTGACTTCTCAGGCCCAAATCTTCACAGGCCCAAATCTTCACAAGCCCAAATCTTCACAGGCACATGTCTTCACAGGCCCAAATCTCCATAGGCACAAGTCTTCACAGGCTCAAATGTTCACAGGCACAAAACTTCATAGGCACAAATCTGCACAGGCACAAATCTTCACAGGCACAAATCATTATCATTTACTGCTACAGTAGATAGAACTTCACAGACACAAAACTTCATAGGCACAAATCTTCACGGCACACATCTTCACAGGCACAAATCATAATCATTTACTGCTACAGTAGATAGAACTTCACAGGCCCAAATCTTCAAAGGCCCAAATCTTCAATCTTCACAGACCCAAATCTTCACAGGCCCAAATCTTCAATCTTCACAGGCCCAAATCTTCAATCTTCACAGGCCCAAATCTTCAATCTTCACAGGCCAAAATCTTCACAGGCCCAACTCTTCACAGGCACAAATCATTTACTGCTACAGTAGATTTAACTTCACAGGAACAAGTTCACTGTTAAATGAACAGTAAGTGTAGTACAATTACACACAAACAAGTTCACTTTTATATACAGTAAAGTGTACTACAATTACACACGAACAAATCATTTACTGCTACAGTTGATATAACTTCACCAGATCAAATTGTACTACAATTACACAGGAACAAGTTCACTGTTATATACAGTAAGTGTACTACAAGTACACACAAACAAGTTCACTGTTATATACAGTAAGTGAACTACAATTACACACAATCAAGTTCACTGTTATATACAGTAAGTGTAGTACAATTACACACAAACAAGTTCACTGTTATATGTACAGCAAGTGTAGTACAATTACACACAAACAAGTTCACTTTTATATACAGTAAAGTGTACTACAATTACACACGAACAAATCATTTACTGCTACAGTTGATATAACTTCACCAGATCAAATTGTACTACAATTACACAGGAACAAGTTCACTGTTATATACAGTAAAGTGTACTACAATTACACACGAACAAATCATTTACTGCTTCAGTTGATAGAACTTCACAGGAACAAGTTCACTGTTATATACAGTAAGTGTACTACAATTACACACGAACAAATCATTTACTGCTACAGTTGATAGAACTTCACAGGAACAAGTTCACTGTTATATACAGTAAGTGTACTACAAGTACACACAAACAAGTTCACTGTTATATACAGTAAGTGAACTACAATTACACACAATCAAGTTCACTGTTATATACAGTAAGTGTACTACAATAACACACGAACAAGTTCACTGTTATATACAGTAAGTGTACTACAATTACACACGAACAAATCATTTACTGCTACAGTTGATATAAGTTTAAGTTTAAGAATCTTTTAGCCCACCTGTCTTGAAGTGCTTATCAGCATACACCATTATGTTTCGTTCACCCATTAGTCGTTAGTTCTGTCTTTATCTTTTTCCAAATATATTCTTCATAAGAAAAAAAGGCCTAGGTTAATAATCATAGCATGTTTATTGATTGGCTAGACTGAAACACTAGCTGTCAATCTTTTCTGAATAAATGACATTGACTTTTGGGTTTCATGGGAATGCATGGGTCAGATGTGTTAAAAACTTCAAATCACTTCCTTTTATGAATTCATGAAACATGATGTGATGATATTTCAACTTCAGCTGACCTGATAGGGCTATCAAATCATTCAGATGAATGACCTTGATCAATAATCAGGTTCAAGGGGGTCGAATGTGCAAAAGTCTTGAAACAGCTCCTTCTGATGAACAATGAGGCTGGTAGATTAATGGTATCTGGTATGTAATTTGTTGGGGTAGAGTGCTACCAAATGTCAGGAAAAAAATATCTGGACCAACATTCAAGGTCATGGGTCAAATGTGTTAAAAGGATTCTTTATAAGAATCATGTATCCAAGATAACCAGTATAACACTTCTAGTTTGCTGAGGTGAGAGCTGTCTTAGTAATTATTCTTCGTAAGTTTTCAAGAATACAGAATGAATACTATAGTGTTGCAATATTAAAACAATATTTGAAGACTGCTACGCCTGTAACAATGATTTATGACCTGCAGCTAGCAGAGGCAAAAAAATTGTTGCCTTTTGATTAACTGAGATCAACTGATTATATCAGCATTGAATACGTATTGCCAAAACCGTAAATCAACAGGTGGGTCTGTTGTTCTATGTAACAGGTGGGTCTGTTGATTTATGTAACAGGTTGGTATGTTGTTCTACGTATCAGGTGGGTCTGTTGTTCTAGTTGTTCTATGTATCAGGTGGGTCTGTTGTTCTGTGTATCAGGTGGGTCTGTTGTTCTATGTATCGGGTGGGTCTGTTGTTCTATGTATCGGGTGGGTCTTTTGTTCTATGTATCGGGTGGGTCTGTTGTTCTATGTAACAGGGGGGTATGTTGTTCTATGTATCAGGTGGGTCTGTTGGTCTATGTAACATGTGGGTCTGTTGTTCTATGTAACAGGTGGATCTGTTGTTCTATGTATCAGGTGGGTCTGTTGGTCTATGTAACAGGTGGGTCTGTTGTTCAATGTAACAGGTGGGTCTGTTGTTCTGTGTAACGGGTGGGTCTGTTGTTCTATGTAACAGGAGGGTATGTTGTTCTATGTATCAGGTGGGGCTGTTGTTCTGTGTATCAGGTGGGTATGTTGTTATGTGTATCAGGTGGGTATGTTGTTCTATGTAACAGGTGGGTGTGCTGATTTATGTAACAGGTGGGCATGTTGTTCTACGTATCAGGTGGGTCTTTTGTTCTATGTAACAGGTGTGTCTGTTGTTCTATGTAACAGGTGGGTGTGCTGATTTATGTAACAGGTGGGCATGTTGTTCTACGTATCAGGTGGGTCTTTTGTTCTATGTAACAGGACAGTCTGTTGTTCTATGTATCAGGTGGGGCTGTTGTTCTGTGTATCAGGTGGGTATGTTGTTCTGAGTATCAGGTGGGTATGTTGTTCTATGTATCAGGAGGGTCTGTTGTTCTATGTAACAGGTGGATCTGTTGTTCTATGTATCAGGTGGGTCTATGTAACAGGTGGGTCTGTTGTTCTATTATCAGGTGGGTCTGTTGTTCTATGTATCAGGTGGGGCTGTTGTTCTGTGTATCAGGTGGGTATGTTGTTCTGTATATCAGGTGGGTATGTTGTTCTGTGTATCAGGGGGGTATGTTGTTCTATGTAACAGGACGGTCTGTTGTTCTATTCTATGTATCAGGTGGGTCTGTTGTTCTGTGTAACAGGTGGATCTGTTGTTCTATGTATCAGGTGGGTCTATGTAACAGGTGGGTCTGTTGTTCTGTGTATCAGGTGGGTATGTTGTTCTGAGTATCAGGTGGGTATGTTGTTCTATGTATCAGGAGGGTCTGTTGTTCTATGTAACAGGTGGATCTGTTGTTCTATGTATCAGGTGGGTCTGTTGTTCTATCTATCGGGTGGGTCTGTTGTTCTATGTAGCAGGTGAGTCTGTTGTTCTATGTATCAGGTGGGTCTATGTAACAGGTGGGTCTGTTGTTCAATGTAACAGGTGGGTCTGTTGTTCTATTATCAGGTGGGCATGTTGTTCTATGTAACAGGTGGGTCTGGTGTTCTGTGTATCAGGTGGGTATGTTGTTATGTGTATCAGGTGGGTATGTTGTTCTATGTAACAGGTGGGTGTGCTGATTTATGTAACAGGTGGGCATGTTGTTCTACGTATCAGGTGGGTCTGTTGTTCTATGTATCGGGTGGGTCTTTTGTTCTATGTATCGGGTGGGTCTGTTGTTCTATGTAGCAGGTGAGTCTGTTGTTCTATGTATCAGGTGGGGCTGTTGTTCTGTGTATCAGGTGGGTATGTTGTTCTGAGTATCAGGTGGGTATGTTGTTCTATGTATCAGGAGGGTCTGTTGTTCTATGTAACAGGTGGGTCTGCTGATTTATGTAACAGGTTGGTATGTTGTTCTACGTATCAGGTGGGTCTTTTGTTCTATGTAACAGGTGTGTCTGTTGTTCTATGTAACAGGTGGGTCTTTTGTTCTATGTAACAGGTGTGTCTGTTGTTCTATGTAACAGGTGGTTCTGTTGTTCTATGTAACAGGTGGGTCTGCTGATTTATGTAACAGGTTGGTATGTTGTTCTACGTATCAGGTGGGTCTTTTGTTCTATGTATCAGGTGGGTCTGTTGGTCTATGTAACAGGTGGGTCTGTTGTTCAATGTAACAGGTGGGTCTGTTGTTCTATTATCAGGTGGGTCTGTTGTTCTATGTAACTGGTGGGTCTGTTGTTCTATGTATCAGGTGAGTCTGTTGTTCTATGTATCGGGTGGGTCTGTTGTTCTATGTAACAGGAGGGTATGTTGTTCTATGTATCAGGTGGGTCTGTTGGTCTATGTAACAGGTGGGTCTGTTGTTCTGTGTATCGGGTGGGTCTGTTGTTCTATGTATCAGGTGGGTATGTTGATCTATGTAACAGGTGGGTCTGCTGATTTATGTAACAGGTTGGTATGTTGTTCTACGTATCAGGTGGGTCTTTTGTTCTATGTATCAGGTGGGTCTGTTGGTCTATGTAACATGTGGGTCTGTTGTTCTATGTAACAGGTGGGTCTGTTGTTCTATGTATCAGGTGGGTATGTTGTTCTATGTAACAGGTGGGTCTGCTGATTTATGTAACAGGTTGGTATGTTGTTCTACGTATCAGGTGGGTCTGTTGTTCTATGTAACAGGACAGTCTGTTGTTCTATGTATCAGGTGGGTCTGTTGTTCTGTGTATCAGGTGGGTATGTTGTTCTGTGTATCAGGTGGGTATGTTGTTCTATGTAACAGGACGGTCTGTTGTTCTATGTATCAGGTGGGTCTGTTGTTCTATGTATCCGGTGGGTCTGTTGTTCTATGTATCCGGTGGGTCTGTTGTTCTATGTAACAGGAGGGTCTGTTGTTCTATGTATCCGGTGGGTCTGTTGTTCTATGTAACATGTGGGTCTGTTGTTCTATGTATAAGGTGGGTCTGTTGTTCTATGTATAAGGTGGGTCTGTTGTTCTATGTAACAGGACAGTCTGTTGTTCTATGTATCAGGTGGGAATGTTGTTCTATGTATAATTTTCTTTGATAGAGACAAATGCTGTTAAAAGAATGTATCGGGTGGGTCTGTTGTTCTATGTATCAGGTGGGTCTGTTGTTCTATGTAACAGGTGGGTATGTTGATTTGTGTATCAGGTGGGTCTGTTGTTCTATGTAACAGGACGGTCTGTTGTTCTACGTATCAGGTGGGTCTTTTGTTCTATGTATAATTTTCTTTGATAGAGACAAATGCTGTTAAAAGAAATGAAATTATCATTAGATTTAATTTCAAGGTCACAGGTAGAATACATTTTAAAACCTCAAATGGCTTCTTCTTCTTAACCTATAAAATCGAGTCATACTCTTTTACATGTATCTTACTGAATTTGGGCAATACTGTCAAATTCACAAGGGTTGAATATGAAAAGAAATCAGATTAAAGTTAACTTTCTACAGAGATGTATTTGTGATGTTTGGCCTGTAGCTTACAGTGTGTGGGACTGTCAGACTTACCTTGACACACTTTTACAGTGTGTGGGTCTGTCAGACTTACCTTGACTCACTTTTACAGTGTGTGGGACTGTCAGACTTATCTTGACACACTTTTACAGTGTGTGGGACTGTCAGACTTATCTTGACACACTTTTACAGTGTGTGGGACTGTCAGACTTACCTTGACACACTTTTACAGCGGGTGGGTCTGTCAGACTTACCTTGACACACTTTTACAGTGTGTTGGACTGTCAGACTTACCTTGACACACTTTTACAGTGTGTGGGACTGTCAGACTTACCTTGACACACTTTTAAGTTACAGAGATAAAATGTGTCAGGCATGTGTGTCGCAATTTGAGCTTATATTGCTATATACAATAGACATAACAACAAGTAACTGTCTACAAATGAGAGAAAATATTGAGTTTTTAAGGTGTCAAACTGGTTAGGTATACAGTGTTATTTTCTTACAAATGTTTGATGTTGCGCTACTTTATGACATTGTTATAATGTATTTGTGAAATTAATGTTCCTGCATAATGTATCACAGCTGGTATTAGTAACCCTATATTTATGGACGAGTTTATAATAATACCCCGGCCTGGATAGAGTATACATTCCTAGTACTCTGTCTTGTTTTTCAGATGAGCATAACAAAGCATGCTCCTGAGATCCAGCTCAAGGTTAATGACCTATCTGTGCGACCTCTGTGGCAGAACCCGTCTGTGAAGAAAACTCTTAATGCCATAGGTTTCCACCAGATTGGGCTTCTACTGAATTTCAATCGCACACCCTTGAACAAGTAAGATCACCCACAGGTCAAAAACATGTTGAGTCAACCTTGAAATTTAAAGGTCACCTGCTGCCCAAACACAAGTATGGTAGAGCTATGTCAAAATATAAATAAGATCAGTTGATTGCTGACAATATATTTGATCAGGTATATACTGGGTATAAAGTAGATGATAAAAAAGTCATGAGAGATTGCATTATACTCTAAACATAGCTGCAGTAGTGTTTAATTTCTTAGATATTAAAACATAACCATGACATTAACATCTCTGTTTTTCCTGCCCACCACTCTCCTCCTCTAGGACCCTGTTGACGGCCGCGCTACAGCTGTTCCTGGCCTTGAGTGCCTATAAGAGTCAGGTGCTGTTGTACAGACTTGATGTCAACCTCCTAGGAAAACCAGGCACCACCAAGGTCATAAAGGTACATTTCACCACTAGACCTACATTTGTACTTTTTTTTTTATTACTTTGATGTTTAAAACAGCATTTATTCGCTGATACTGTACTAAAATCTTAAGTCTGAAGCTCTAATCAATGGCATCTGCCAACTATTCTGAAATCAAGGTAACGTTTGACCAAGCAGGATGACTCTACATATGTATGCGAGTTAAAAGTTTTTCATTATTAATTTTTCAGCCAACCATGCTGCAGGAGATTGGACGCCTGCCATCCCTCACACCTCTACTGCTCCCAAGGAATCAGGTAAACACTGAACAAGTTTTACATAATAAACATGTTAGTTATGCTCTGATGAAACACATCTATAATCAACTGAACATTGAAGTGACCTACATGTTACTGTTTTAAATAGCAATACTGATTGGAAAAATATATTCTCATAAGTAATTTGAATATAACATGGTGATGCCAATCCCGAACACAACATTGATAATTTGTAAGCTTAGGTAAGCAGCTATAAATATTTTCCTGTATTAATGTCTTCCCTTCAAATGAAGGGAGACATATTGTATGAGTACTAGTTCTTCTTCTTCTGGTTCTTCTGGTTCTTCTAATCGCAAGTTGTCTGGGCCATACATTTTAAACAGTAAAAGATATCTTAATGAAACTTGAGGTATATATGCATCACCCACAGAAGTTGTGCACTGCACTAAAATTAGGTCACTGTGACCTTTACCTCAAGGTCAAAGGTCAAATAAGTGCACCATTTTCAGTAAATTCTTGTCCAGCCAATACATTTTAAACTGTTAAAGATATCTTTATCAAACTTGAAGTATACCTGCATCACCCACAGAAGGTGTGCAGTGCACTAGAATTAGATCTCTTATTTTTTATACTAAAGTTTGTCCGGAGCATAAGTTCCATGTTATTTCACCTATGTTGACCAAACTTACCATATTTATGTATCTTGGGAAGGTGGAATCTGTTGCACTAAAATCGGGTCTTGTGTCCCACTATATATAGAGTTATGGCCCTTTGTTTATTTTTAATACCGAAGTTTGTCCACGGCATGACTTCCATGTTGTTGCACCTACATTGACAAAGTTTGCTATAGTTATGTATCTTGGGAAGAAGGAGTGTTGCATTCTAAATTCGGGTCTTGTGCCCCACTATTTAAAGAGATATGGCCCTTTGTTAATGTTTTGTACCAAAGTTTGTCGATTGGCTTATAAGGGGAAACATATGTTTTTGTTCACAAAAACAAGTTTCTATTTGTATTATGTAAATATTAGCTGAGTTATCTGTAACTGGTGCTATTAAATTCATTAGTTGAGGATGAGTACACCCTGGCTGAGTCGAGCGGAGAAGGCTGATGAGATGGATGAGAAAATCAAGCTAGCCCGGGGGTATGTATCTATACACAGACTGATACTTAGATAGAAAAAGAAAATGGATGAAATAATACCTATGAATGTCATTGTTGATAAAGTTAATGTAAATGTGTGTTGGAAAAATGTCTTACCTGTAAATGTGTGCTGGGAAAATGTCTTGCCTGTAAATGTGACTGTTGGAAAAATGTCTTACCCGTAAATGTGTGCTGGGAAAATGTCTTATCTGTAAATGTGTGTTGGACAAATGTTTTACCTGTAAATATGTGCTGGGAAAATGTCTTGCCTGTAAATGTGTGTTGGAAAATGTCTTACCTCTAAATGTGTCTTGGAAAAATGTCTTACCTGTAAATGTGTGCTGATATTGTCTATACTGTCGGGGTGTTTGAAGTTTGACCTGTGAGTTTTTTTGTTGATTCTAACTTGTAAAGGTGTTTATGAGAATTTAAAAGTTTTGTTTGTTGCAAGTCTGACCATTGAATGTGTGTTTACAGGAAGTCTGACCTAGATGAGCGTTACACTGACTATCAGGAGCGGGCCAGAACCTGGCATCAAATCACTGTAGTAGCACAGGTAAGTCTCCTGGACAAGGACTAGCTATTATATCTTAATAATCAAAGTGTTACTCTACTTGTTAACATACCTATAGAGTCCACACTGTCTTCCTAGAAATAGCTTCCAGGGTATGTACACATTAAAAATAAGTACTTAGCTTAGTCTCAAGTATACCACTGTATGTATGAAGATTGAGATTGTTTCCAGAACTGACACGTTTTTATAAAACAGTTTCCTCAGTCAGGAGGGATTGTTATTGATTATTTTGGATTATTTTCTTATGGCTGGTAATAAGTGTGTTACTGACAAAATTCAAATGTTAATTTGATATTTTTTTTTATTTCAATAAGTATATTTACATACACGCAATAAGGAGGTAGGGAAAAAATATGAGAATTTGCTGAAATAAAGTATCATTATAGTGTTTTGTCTGGAAAGAGAATAATTTAGCACAAATAGAGATATTGCTATGAAAATAAGAGTAGAACACATTTCATTACAATATTGCTGCTGATAACTAGTGACCACCTGGAAATGAAGATGGATTATTCGACTGACATGAAACTGTTATCCTGATAGGACCAGCATCCCCATACACCTTACCACCATGATACAGAACCATAACAACTCTTCCCTAGTCACCCTGTTATTAGCTTATGCTGTACTGCGGCGTCCGGCGTCCATTTGTCGTCCGGCGTCCCTCTGCCAACTTTTTCTTTTGAAAGACTTCTTCTGAAGAACTGGAGGACCTAGGGTCATGATATTTGGCCAGTAGGTACCTCAGATGGAGTGCTATAAAGTTTCCTCATTTAAATGACCTTGACTTACTTTCAGGGTCACTGGGGTCAAATATGTTAAAAATTTCAAACAACAATATTTTAAGAACCATTTGGACTATAGTCATGTTACTTGGGTATGTTATGTAGACCAGCAGTGCAAATCATTTTCTCAATTACAGTAATGAGGTCAAAGGTCAACTGTAAGTGCTAGTAAGGGGTCAAATGTCAACTTTGGTTAAAAGCTTTAACAATTTTCTTTTCAAGTTCCATAAAGGCCCAGGGTCATGATATTTGGCCAGTAGGTACCAGGGATGGAGTGCTATACAGTTTCCTCATTAAAAAGACCTAGGCCTACTTTCAAGGTCACAGGGGTCAAATATGTTAAAAAATTCAAACAACAATATCCTAAGTACCATTTGAACTAGAGTTGTGGTACTTGGTTATATTATGAAGATCAGCAGTGCATTTTTTCTCTCAATTACAGTAATGAGGTCAAAGGTCAACTTTAAGTGATAGTCAGGTCATAGGTCAATGTGAGTTAAAAGCTTCAAAATTAAAATTTGAAATTTCAATCAACAATATCTTCAGAAACCGTTTAAGAGATGTTAAAATGTCTTGTGTTCTAGTTACCAAATTTGGTCTTAAGTTACCTATATGTCAGTTTCATGTAACAAAAGAAACAGGTGAGCAATACCGGCCCTCTGGGCCTCTTGTTCATTTGTTGCAACATATTTCCTTTAAATCCAGTTGAAATCATCAAATTTGATTATTAAATTGTTTCTCACCTATTCTTTAAATGCATCAGTCGGAATCTGTCAAGGTAAGCTGAAATTGCATGCATATGTGTGAGTGAATGGTATATATTTCTTTTTTTTTCATTGTTTTGAATGATTCGAGATAAAATAAACATGAATGACAGAATCTTAATGTTAATATGATGTGCTAGTGGATATTGCTCGAGTTGAATAGTTCCACTTTGTAGACAGTTCTGACCCAATGTCTGAATCACACTCAACGATTTACATACAAGTATGAGGTTGTGTAAAGCCAAAACATCTAATAAGTTTATCCTTGACCACAGATGCTATCAAATTTTCTGCTAGCAAAAAAACTTCCTATAGGCCAGCTTGATCAAACACGAAGGAATACCTCTTATACATAATACTACATTATCCTGCTTCTGCATTACAATCTTTTCAAATGCTGTTATAATGATTGACCTGCATCGTTTGTATTGGATTCTGAAACTTCACAAAACATCATTTCATCAATGTCTTCTGGTTGCTCATCGAAGCCATTAACCAAACTTCTTACTTTAATCAGTTCCATTATATATTGATACCGTCGTATTGTCACACCAAAAGTGTTATTAAATGAGTGTTGTTTTTGGAAAATTCAGAAGATCTTTGTACCAATCTCCAGCATTATTTTAGCGAAAATTGTTTCTTCATACCAAACTGGAGGAATTTCATTGTTCTCTTACTATGAACGTTTTCCCCAAAAAATGGGAACATCGGTACAGATATATGATTTTGAACAATTTTGGAGCGTACTTTGTAAAAATAAAACATGATAAAGGCCAGGTTGAAATATACAGAGGACGAAATAGTGAGACTTTTTTATTTGGTTTTCCAGCAGACTGTTATCATACAAGTGGAAACAGTTTGTGCCTCTCTCATGTTTGACTTTTCTTTTGCTTTTTTATCAGGACAGGTATAGCAACAATTTCAATTTCAGATGTGTCAGCAATGTGACGGTCATTTATTATAAAGTATATTAACCACGTCAGTCGTACCTATCTTTCTGAACTTGAAATCAAAGACCCTATAGACTGTTCTTAATCAGATATTTTTCTCGATCTCACTTACAACATGACCCTTCTGGACGGCTTACTACTAAGATGTTTGACACGTTTGATAATTTAGATTTTTCTGATAATAAATGTTTGTTTGGGACATTTGGAAAGTTTATAGTTGACATCAGGATCTGAGCTCACTGAGAAACATTCTTATATGATTATTGACGTTTTTAATTATGTTCAAAAGCATGCCATGAAATTTCATTTTCACAGTCCCGAATCCTACTCAGAGGATGTGGCATTTCTTGATTTGACCTTGATTTACATGGCAGTTGTCGCCAGAGTATGCTTTTCCTTCTGGAACATCTGGCCCTATTCCTCCTGTGCTGTTACAAGGACATCAATGCCTTTAGATCCTTTGTTCATATTTTGACATTTTTTAATCGATTTTGAGTTAGAATTACAGTTTTGTTCAGACTTAGGTATTACTTTCATGATTTTTTTACTGTTTGGTATTCAAAATGCAGAATATACACAATCATATCCCCGACAAATATCGTAATATTATTTTATAATATGGATTTTTTTATATTGTTCATTAAAATAAAAGATAATCACAGATAATGTGCATTTAATTATAATGATATGATAGTCATGTAAGTGCTTGCATGTGATGCTTACATTGTATTATACATGTTGTATCAGTGTGTGTGTGCTAGTTGTTTTTAAAAGAGAGATCAGCGGGATTTCCCCCTCGGACTGTTTGGCAGTATATCAACTCTAAATATCAGCACAAAATTACGTGTTCATATTTGGAATGAAATACATTTACGAAATATTCAAAACAAACACATTTATTATTTACTTGTGCATATACTTTTCTGTTTGTACCAAATAAGATAATGATAGTTTCATAGAATAGATTTTTGAGATTTTTGGTTGAAGAAATCAGAAAATTCGGTCTTACGTTGATAAGAAGAGGGTTTACGACCCACCTCTCCACCACAACAAAATGACTCCTGTATGCTTGGTAGGGATGGATATTTATCACGAAGTCCTTGTTACTGAAGTAGCATTGTTAAATACCACCTCTGTTGTTGTAAGGTGAATATTTCAGTATATGTGAGATATATCGGTTTTTAGAACCACAAATGATCGAGTTTCGGGCATATGTATAACTGTCAGCAAATGGCACCAATATGTCGTAAGTTTGACACATAAGGAAAAACGACTGCACATGTAAAGAAAAGAAAACATCAATTTTGCCAAGCGGCATTTCCCAAATATTGGTAACAATTAATGAAAATATACAATGAAAATAAAAACGATGAATGAAATAATTGTTTATTCAATTAATACGCATGGTACTGAGAGTAGTGTATTGGTTTTTGTATTGCAGTCTGCCGTAAGTGTTGTATACTGAAGTGTATGCGTTGTTATATTACTGTTTGTCAGCCATTATTGTTTATTGTTGTTTACTGTACCGTATTGTTTGTTTTATTGCTGTGTGTCTGCTAGTATATTGTTTATTGTTGTTTAGTGTACCTTATTGTTTGTTTTATTGCTGTGTGTCTGCCAGTATATTGTTTAGTGTATTGGTTGTTTGATCATTATTGTTAACTGTTAATAAGTTGTACTGCTATGTACATTACCTACCATTGTTTTTGTGTTTTGTTATTGTTGCGCATTGTTGGGAGTACTGACCGTTGTTGTAATCATGGTTATTGATAAACAACCTCTTGAACACAATCGGATAAATATCCGATATGTTTTTAATCAAAACAAAGCGATCTTAAAATCCAACATTTGTTTTCTTCTCTTACCTGTAAACAGAAAACGTTCTCCTATGTAGTGAACGATCTATATCTCTGTATGCATATGTTATGAAGGAATTCGTTATGTTTTTAAGGTGTGTTATTTAACATTTTTCACATTTATATATGTAGTTATGAAATAATATAAAATACCTGTTGAATTGGCAGAGAGAGGTCAACAGGCTTCAGTGTTAATACACCTGCTATAATGTAAGAACTGATGACTATAAAATCAGTAAAAGTAAGACATGCTATACTTAGCGTACAACAGGCTACAACTTAAAGAGTTGATACAGTCTTCTGTACAGCTTATACAGCATGCTATAGAGTTGATAAATATTGTATACAAAGGAAGACAACTAGCTATAAGATTGATAAAGCATGCTGTAATATAAGTATAAAATGCTCTACTTTGTAAGATATGTAAAAAAAAAGTAAAGTGATAACTTATAGCGGAACGAATTTAACGAGAACAAATGTAAAATTAAGATAAAAATCAACACATTTCTTGTGTCTTTAACCACAAAAGCAGTTGGTGAATATCTTATAGAAATACACATTACGTCAACAATTGCGATCTTAATTTCGGGTTTAACATATCCAGATTGTTTTAAATACTCATTTTTCTGTAAAGCGCGACATAAGCAAACAAGGTTTCTATGTCGTTTGATGTTTTTTGGTTGTATGAACATCAAGTAAATACCACTACTAAAATATAATTCTACATAAGTAATACTCGATAACAACAGCTTTCTTTTTTTATCATCGACATTAATGTGTAGAAAAAAGTTAAATCATCAAAATGGATAACATGTCTTACACATATACCATCCTTTTCCAGGCTAATGAATCTCTATCTAAATTTGGCCGTCCGCGCACCACACCGACCAAAGTGAAAGTGGTACCAGGGGCGAGTGCGTCCCGCGAGAGGATACCCATTGGACGTGAATCTATGATGGGCATCCCTGAGGTGGACCAGAGACGTGACTATGCCCAGTATGTCCTACAGCAGCGACTTAACAACATAGACCTTAGACACCGCAACGACGTGATGAAACTGTACCTTCCTTACATACAGAGTACATAGACAAGCACGGGCTGTCTACAACACAGCTACCCAGTAATTACGTTATACAGAGTACATAGACTAACACAGGTTGTCCACAACACAACCACCAAGTAGTTACGTTATACAGAGTACATAGACTAACACAGGTTGTCCACAACACAACTACCTAGTAGTTACGTTATACAGAGTACATAGACTAACACAGGTTGTCTACAACACAACTACCTAGTAGTTACGTTATACAGAGTACATAGACTAACACAGGTTGTCCACAACACAACTACCTAGTAGTTACGTTATACAGAGTACATAGACTAACACAGGTTGTCTACAACACAACTACCTAGTAGTTACGTTATACAGAGTACATAGACTAACACAGGTTGTCCACAACACAACTACCTAGTAGTTACGTTATACAGAGTACATAGACTAACACAGGTTGTCCACAACACAACTACCTAGTAGTTACGTTATACAGAGTACATAGACTAACACAGGTTGTCCACAACACAACTACCTAGTAGTTACGTTATACAGAGTACATAGACTAGCACGGGCTGTCCACAACACAACTACCCAGTAATTACGTTATACAGAGTACATAGACTAACACAGGTTGTCCACAACACAACTACCTAGTAGTTACGTTATATAGAGTACATAGACTAGCACGGGCTGTCCACAACACAACTACCCAGTAGTTACATATGTACGTTATACAGAGTACATAGACTAACACAGGTTGTCTACAACACAACTACCCAGTAGTTACGTTATACAGAGTACATAGACTAGCACGGGCTGTCTACAACTAGTAGTTATGTCATACCCTATACCAGCCCAAGTCACCCAACAGAACATGTACTGCCTACCGATATTTAACGCTCAGAGCACATAAACTAGTATTAACTACCACCTAACTTACCACTACCAAGTTATTTGACCGAACATATATATTACCTTACAAAAGTTATTAACATCCGACATACCGATACCCAATAGTTATCACCCTTACAGGTTATATACACTACACGTATGTACAGTGTGGCACCGAAAGTACTGAAGCAAAACGGTGGTTACCACTGGTAAAGACGTACCAGTCGGGTTTCAAAGTGTTTACGCGCAGGGAGGATTAGATGATTGTGTGCTATTTACCGTGTCTGAAAGAATTGGTTCAATTCAAGGCTACACACTTCCTTTAACATCCGCCATTAAAATTCCATACTTAAATGGACAGAGTGCATGAACGACATCTTTTTACAGAAGACGTGGTTTTGTGATATTAGAAAGTTAACATTATATCATCATTACGAAATGGAAGACAGATCTGAATATATGCTGATAATATAAAATTGTGATTATCGGTTGCAATCGTACATTTATATGTATATCATATAATAGCGAGAAAATGACAGCACCATATGTATTTATTTATGTTACTAATATATATATAACATTGGCATGTGTCTTTTTGCATGTTGGAAATGAACTTGTCGATGCGAGGCTTGCTATTAATTGTAGAGCTTTGGGAGTTATTGCATTCTTTGAATTTGATGGGTCTTAGAACTCCAGTCAATATAGGCTGATTTGGAATGACAAAATTATGTGTATATCGTCATCCGAACTGCACTAGAATTTTATTGGGCACTATTTGTTTTTGTGTGATAAGCTGAAACTGTATAGGGTATTGAGCATTTACTCCTACAAGCTTACTAAAGTATTAAAAAGACAGCTAATTTATAACATTTTAAGCATTAAATCTTAAGATAAAATGATTTCTAACATGACAACTTGCATAAATATGCAAAATACATATCAGTTTAAAAATAATGTGTTACATAGATGTAAAATGTATAACATATGTGATGTATACAAATATAGAGTATGGATTGTCTGTGATATTCATGCATTGTATAATACTGATACGGACACGATTACCGTGCAGGGTATCATACTTTTACCGTATTTAGGTTCAAGGTGTACAGATCATTGGTACTGTACTGGACACGACAATAATGTGTGTTTCTGATAATTTTCAATATATTTAATATGTACCTATATATTTTTTTTTTAAATCTCGCTGATCAAATGTAGGGCATTTGAAAGAAAACATATTATGAATATCAATGCAAACTCTTTTTATAGTACATTATTCCATTAACCTGCCTTACATGAAAAGGGGGTTAATTTATAGAAATTAAACCCTTTACAGACTATTTGCAGGAAAGTACGTCTAAGGTGGTCGCTTGTGGGAGGGGGAAAATTTTCTGTTTTTATTTTTTAAAGTAATGGGATCCAAAGGAAACAACTTTTCATCAACATTTAACAGGATTACGAATACTTTCAATATTGTAGAGACTCCTCATTGTCTATCATACTGTATATGTCCTTCCTTTTTGTGCCAATTGCCGTTTTATCTACTGCTTATACAGTTTGCTCAGTTTGACGCTATATAGAATTGAATAACGCACGTGTTGACTTAGCACCTATTAAGTGACCACACGTTAAAACACACCGTTTTGTTTCCTTTATAGAGAGCTCTATATCTACATTAAAATTACTATTATCAATTCATCTGTCAGCAGATATCGAACACTGAACAAAATCTGAGTGATCTCTTGTATGAGGTGAATAATGTTTGATTGTGTAACACTGAGTGTACAGATTGTAGAGACGAGTTTCCATAATTTATGACAGAAACTGAGTGTCTGTATTGCAGATATGAGTTTCCATAATTTATGACAGAAACTGAGTGTCTGTCTTGCAGAGATGAGTTTCCATAATTTATGACAGAACCTGAGTGTCTCTATTGCAGAGATGAGTTTCCATAATTTATGACAGAACCTGAGTGTCTCTATTGCAGAGATGAGTTTCCATAATTTATGACAGAACCTGAGTGTCTCTATTGCAGAGATGAGTTTCCATAATTTATGACAGAAACTAAGTGTCTGTATTGCAGAGATGATTTTCCATAATTTATGACAGAAACTGAGTATCTGTATTGCAGAGATGAGTTTCCATAATTTATGACAGAAACTGAGTGTCTGTATTGCAGAGATGACTTTCCATAATTTATGACAGAAACTGAGTGTCTGTATTGCAGGAGTGATTTATGTTAGCTTTATTAAAAAACAAGAGTGTACATATGGTGAAGTGAGTTGTGTTTGTTTTTACACAAATCTTCGAATGGCTGTATTGTTGAACTCAGTTGAGCTTTGGTTAAAACTGAGAGTGAAACTGTGTTCTCTTTGTGAGAACAATGAATGTCTCGATTGTAGAAACTGAAAAGGGTGCGTCATGTATAAGCTTGAAGTAAAATCATGAATGTGTTGAATGTAAAAGCGATCGATATTAGATTTGGGTAGGACGATGAAAGAGGTGGGATAAGTTAGCTGTTGAAAAGAACTATGAAAGGCTGGATTGTAGGTGAGCTATGTTATCTTTAGGAATCAGTATGACAGTCAGGTTTGTAGACGTGTTTCTCTTGAAAATAACTTTACTGATTGGTTTTAAGGTTCAACAAGCCCCCTAAAAGATGTAATAGTTACCCTAAATTTCAACCCCCTGGCAAGTCATATTCAAATAACCTTATCAAAAATCGGAATATATATATACATGTATATGTAATTTAAATATATTGAACTTATACATGAGCTATTAAAAAGGTATATAACCAGGTTAACGAAGTCAAAATACGTCATTAAGGCTGATGTAATGATAAAAGTTGCTCACAATCTCTTAAGCGACCCAACTGAATGATCATTTATATACCTAGGTCATGCGGGACTTTATTTCTCTTTAACTATGTGTGGAGAGGTATACCGGCCTCACAAGAAGATGTTTGTTGCTATGGGAAAGTACAAAAATCATAGTAAAACGTCCGTATAACATATTTTACCGGTATATATGTATACAACCATAGACCTATGACCATTAACACTACTTAAACTTCATATAAAATGTCTTTTCTTATCTTTAAATGTTGTTATAAAATAGCTAGACTTGTTATACACATTATTGTATTTTTCAGCTTCAATGTTTATAAACTGTCTAGCGCATTCATATAATCACATAGCATAGGTTTGTATGAAATAGCACATCATCTAAAGTTTATTGATAGATCAAGGTTACTTAGTCTTTGTTTTCTTATTTATAAATTGCTAAAATGTATTACCAGGGAATTTTACTATGCTCTTAGTGGTTTTGCATTGCAACATCTATCTATACACCTAGTAGAAGAGAAATAAAGTCCCACATGACCTATGTATTTAAATAAACTTTAAATTATGGGTCATTTCTCAGCACTCAGTTGGATTGCAAAAGAGATTGACATGCTATAAGTCGAGTGAGCTATTTTTATGAAGACATCAGCCGTAATGCCTTGTTTTTGACTACGTTAACCTGGCTATGTATTTTTTGTATAGCTAATGTACAAGTTCAATATATACAAATAACATATATAAGTTCCGATTTTTAATTGAAGTCTTTGAACATGACTTATTAGGGGGTTGACATTTAAGGTGACTACAGCATCTTTTAGGGGGCTTGTTGCACCTTAAGGTATAAAACCGTTAATGTCTAGTTGTAATACAAGAGATAGGTTTGAATAGGTACTTTTTGTCCTGTTGGGGTAAAACTGTAGACGACTGTAGGGGCGACTTTTGTGTATAAATGTGAGTGTCTATCACGAAAAATGGGTTTAAGTAAAACTGGTGGGGTTTTGTAGAGGCGAGACATATTTGGCTGTAGTAAAACTGTAAGTGCCTGGTTTGTAAAATATTTATGATCTAGTAATGGTGCTGCAGCAGTATTGCCTCATGATGTTTGTGACACTTATTATGTTGTTTCATTTCTGTGATAACTGAAATGTGATTTATAAGATCTTGATTGTGTCAGTGGTATGTTGATGTACTTAATATCCTATTAACTCAAACGCAAAGTGATTGACTGCGTACGCGATTATTATGGGAATTATTTCAACTGTTTTCAATTAAGAAAGCTAATTACGTGAATGGCGTTAGGACATTGCTCTTGTCAAATATTGCCTGTCGTTCATTCTACCATAAAGTAGGGTCTTTGTTGTTTATTGAATATTATTTTATATATATTAAAAGATTTTATTTTCTACCTTTTTTTGCCCGTATTTTATTTTTTACATGATAATGGGACAAAGCACAAGTCATATTGGCCTAATTTGGAGTACGGTAGATGTAACACATCAAATACAAGCTTCACAGATTAACCATAAACGACGAGAATAAGCAACATAGCGAATAGGTTACTTTCACCGACTAGCTATCCATGAGCAGAACAATAAAAACAGACATGTAGCTATCAGTGATAAGACCAAGCCATACAGACTAGCTGTCAGTGATATTACCAAATCACAGTCTATATATCAGTGTTAAGACCAAGTTACACAGACTAGCTGTCAGTGATATATTACCAAATCACAGTCTATATATCAGTGCTTAGACCAAGTTACACAGACTAGCTGTCAGTGATATTACCAAATCGGAGTCTATATATCAGTGCTTAGACCAAG